CCCTGGTTTTGCTGGTTTCGGGACTGCCTCTTGGCCTCGGCCTGCTGGACAAGAGTCTCTTTCAAATTGGGAGAGGCCATGATGCACCGCCTGCCTCCAGGCTGAACACTCAGATGTCAGGGTTTCCCATCTGTTGAGGTCCATACCTAAGGCCTTCAGATCCCACATGCAGATATCTTTGTATCACAGCTGTGGTCTCCCTCTGGGGTGCTTTCCCTGCACTCATTCTCCATCCAGGAGATCTTTTGGAATCCGGCCATCAACCATTCTCATGACATGCCCGAGCCAATGTAGATGTCGCTGTTTCAGTAATGTATAAATGCTAAAAATACACATCCAGCCCGAAAATATATCACACTTTTCAGCAGCAATGAGGCTAAGGAAAAAAATTCCCTGAAAGAATAGCAGCAAGGAATTTAGCACACGAGCAGCCTGCAAAAGAGATTGGCTCTATGTGCCTACAAGCTTGTTACCATCCTCATCCAAAGATGCCAGGAGTCAAACCTGGGACATCTGCCGTGCCTCTGAGCGATGCACTGGCTTGCTTAGGGACACAGCATTCAAGCCAAGCAGCCAGAACTCTTTTACTCAAACCAGAGCTCGGGAAAGTGGCTTTGCAGTCTGGGATTTGCAGCAAAGAAGAAACAAAAACCCCCAAACTTTTCCAGCCTCTGCTCAAAGCCCCCTGCCAGACCGCTGCATAATGTTGGAAATACCCATTAAGGAACCACAACCCAGTTACACTGTTGTTCAGCTGTCAGCAACCACTTTACACAATCTGTCAAATTTTGTAGTCGCAGCTATGTTTCGTCTCACCCCTAGCGATTTTTCAGGCGACACAGAATTGCAAAGGAACTGTATATCGGTCTCGGAAAGCTCTTTTGCATTGAACACATCCCAACCAAGTAAAAGACCCCCAAGTTTGGCTTCTGGACCTGGCTCAAGAAAAGGTAAATCTAGGCAGGCCTCCTGCAGTGTCACCTCCTCTTCAATAGGGGGCAGTATGAAAAGAGCAGATACTGTCACCAAAAGGCCACCTGGCCCTCAGCGATCCACCAGAGACATTTTGTTGCTTGACGTGGAGCAGCAAAGGCCTCTCTCTCCAACATTCAAGGTGCGTAATACCCAAAGCCAACCAAGTCATTTGGCACCTGGTGCAGAATATTCCCAAAATATAAATGGGGAAAAATGAACTGGTGTGATCCTGTTCCCTTGGTTGGCTGTTATTCACCATCAAACCCATCAAATCCAATAGGACTAAGACAGACGAAGGTATTTTGGTGACTGGAGAAAGAATTCCCACGAGAGTTCCCCCTATCCTTGGCAATGTAAATATAACAACACATTAAATAACAGTTTCATGATGTAGTAGGATTCCCATATCCATGGGATCAGTATCCACAGTTTCACTTATCCACAGTCTGAAAATATTAAAAGAAAAAATAGAACTACAGTGGGGCCTCGCTTAGCGGTTAATTCGTTCTGAAAAAATCGCTAAGCGATAACATCGCTAAGCAAAATAAAAAAGCCCAGAGAAATGCATTAAAATGCGATTAATGCGTTCCTATGGGCTTAAAACTCACCTTTGAGTGAAAATCCTCCATAGCGCCACCATTTTCGGTGCCTCTAAAGCAAGGAGTCCGTGCCTGAAAACAGGGGGCAGCCATTTTGTTTACCTGCCGGCCATTTTGAAACTGCCGATCAGCTGGCCAAAAATGGAGGCTTTGCGATGATCGCTTCCCTGCGATCATCGCAAAGCGAAAATAGCCCATAGGGACCATCACAAAGCGATCACTTTTGCGATCACAAAAACATCGTCGCAAAGTGATTCGGCGCTAATGGAGCGATCGCTATGCAAGGCACCATTGTATTATTTTCATGGGGTATTTACCAGAACTGGCCACTAGAGGGAGCCTGAGACCATGCTATGTATTCTTGTTGATGAAGAATATATACCATAGCACTATAGTTCCTAACCCCCAGGCCACGGCCTTGTCAAGACTGGGCCGCAGAGGCAGATCTCCCCCCCCCACGCATGCGCATGCACACACAGGTGCCCCGCTCACCCCAGCCAATCCGCAGTTCGGAGAAGGTTGGTGACCACTTCCATAGCATGATCTCTGTCTCCCTCTAGTGGCCACTTCTGGTAATACACAGTAAATATTTTTTCTGATTTCCTCCCCCCTCCCTTTCCCCATGCTATGTATAACATTCACGATTATTCACGGTTTTCAGTATCCACTGAGGTACTTGGAACCAATCCCCCATGGATATGGGGGTCCTGCTGTACTTAATGCTGTTTGCCCTTTCACACAAATTGTTGTCCAGTTGGTGACTGTGACACATTCATAAATGCACCCATTCCAGAAGGGGGGAATAGGGCAGCTCAAAGAGCTATCTTGTCTCCCTGGGGAAGAGAGAGGAAGAAAGAGTGGAAGGGGACATGTAAGAAGCTGCCTTATAGGGACCACCAGTCCATATTCCCAAGCTGGGTCAACTCTTCATCACTGCAATTTCTCAGGCCAGACTTTCCCCCCACCCTACCTGGGAAGCCCTTGCATTTTACGGCAGTCCCTAATTTCTAACGACCAACCCTCCTCTAGTTTCCGAACTCAAACAAGATCAGTGTGTTCCCCATGGCACAGCGAGCCGGAAATCTGCTGGCCACCATCATGCTCAAAGTTTACACTGGCATGCAACAGCTTATTTCTATTTTAAAGAGAATTTTAATAAGCTAAAACCATTTGCTCACACACCCTCTCGCTCACTTGTTTTTTTGATTCTTTTCTTTTCTTCTTCTTCCTTTTTTCATTGTTAAAAATGTCATCGCCACAAAGGTGGGAGTACAGGGCCCACAGCCCCAACTGTTCATGGGAGATGAGTTCAAGTCACTCCACCCCCTCCGAGTGTCTCTTGGATATTCTACATCTAGGGTGGCAAGAGCAACTGCCAGTCCTCCAGAGGCATTCCCATGGGCCTCTGCAGCTCAGAGGTGATGCAGGTTGCCCCCTTCTCCCACCCACCCCAAACTCTCCATGGGTCTGGGCCCTTATCCAGCCAGGGTGATCATTGCTTCCTCTGTAGCCTCCAACACCTGGCTCCCTTCTGCCCAGGTCAGAGGGGGCAGGAGCAGCGCTGGTCATGTGCAGAAGGGAAAGAGATCCTCCACCTTACTCAGTTTGTATACACCTGAGTGCCAATCACGCGCATGATTTCCTTTTGGATTTTGGGGTCCTGAGTATTGATGTTGGCGTCTCCTACTTGGCCATCTTCATACCTGCGAGGAAGAGAGAAACCCTTTTAGATTTGTGGAGGCGAGCCATGATGGACTGACCATAACCATTTGGAAATTTGCCCCCTTCTGTCTATTTCGTGTCATTTGTAGGCTGCTTTTCTCCCAAGGAAGAGACTGTGGAATCTCAAGCTGAAGGATTCTGGGAACACTAGTCCAGAAGGGGATGCTTGTTTTCAAGCAATGACTACAAGGCACATTTTCAATAAGCAGTCTCCAGGAATCAGGGACTGCCTCTCTGATAGAAGGTGCTGAGAACAGAGTGCCAGCCCTACCAGGCGGCAGAAGAGGGCAATGGCCTCAGAGGGCAGTTACAATGGGAGTGGTGGTCACAGGCTCCCAGCTATCCTTTTTCCTGGGCTCCCCTGCTGTTCCCAATGTTGGAGAGCAGACCTGTGTAGGACACCCAGGTCTTCCAAACAACTCTGTGGCCTCTAGTGAGAGGGAAGGGCAAAATCCTCTTACCAGTCTAGAAGGTGAATGACAATCGAGCCAAATTCTACACAAGGAACAGGAAGGGGTGCCCTCTTGCCAGCCACAGAGAGCATAATGTCTTGGGCCAGAAGGGAGACGACAGCATTTCTGTCTTGCTCATGAGCTTTGCATGGGCACCTCTTCACCTGATCCAACATAGCCCTTCTTCTGCAATGCTTGAACTCTCTTCTTCTTGCATATTTCTCAAGGTGAGCACTGCCCAAAACTATCCTACTAGAATACGGAGGGGCATCTTCCCCTAGACCGGTGCCATTTACTCACACAAAGAAAAAGCGGGTGCAGACGTGATCCGACACAGGGCAGACCCAGATGTTGCCATGCTTCTGGAGATCCTTCGATGTAATCACTGCAAGGAGAAAGGGAACAGCTGTGACACTAGGAGAACACGACACCCCAGCTGCAGTGCCACCCATTCAGCAGGACGGCTGGATATTTCGGAGCCCGAGATTCAAGAGGTGGCTGCTGACTCCAACCTGTTTTTGGAGGTCACGGAACCCTCCAAGACACAGCATGCTGGGAAGAGTCACACAGTGCAACTCAGAAGGTAGGAATCTGATCCTTGTTACCCAAATACCATTTGAACCTAACTGGTTATAAATATGCTTGATGTGGCTCATGCGCATTTCCCATCGAGGGACAGGACAAGGACAGACCACGATGCTGTACAAAAAAGGCATCAACCTACAGGGGTGGACGTGCCCTCCAGATGTTCCAGCACACAAGGAGCAATACCACAGTCATGGGTTGCAAGATCGCAACACTTTGGGATCTACAATCACTCCAAGAGCTCCGTGATGTTAAAGCTGCTCTCTAGGATGATTACAGGAAGCGTCCCTCCGGAAGTTTTGAATTCTGAAATTTGCTCCACTCAGAGCCCCAGAAGAACAAGACTCGAAGATTGCTCAAGGGAGAACAAAGCCACTAATTTAAAGGTTAGTGAAATTAGTGACGGTACACGGTGCAAATAAATAATCCAGGGAAAGGAGGCCTGGCATCAGCCCCCCCCCCCACCTGGGCTTCCAAAAACAATGCTAATCTCATTCCTTGGGGCACAAACCTCTTGGATATTGGAAGATGCTCCTTGCCCCAATGAAGCAGCCGTCATGAACCCAAGCTAACAATGGCTTCTGCAGCCCAGAAGCTGCTTGATGCTGGCTGCGATGGGGACAGAAATCCATGGAGGGAAACTGAATCCTATATCTGAGAGGGCAAAGAGGCTCTTGCCTAAGAGAAACAACAAAAGCCTCTTTAGACCTGCTGGATAGCTCGGTGGTTTAGGCATCTGGCTGCAGAGCCAGAGGTTGGGAATTTGATTCCCCACTTGGCAGGAGCTGGACTCAATAACCCATAGGGTCCCTTCCAGCTCTGCAGTTCTAAATTTATAATCAGGATTATACCAAAGGTGAAGCCTCCCTAAGTTCAGGCAACAGGTAGATGTTTACGTATGTTATGACCTTAGCATCCCCCTCTTTCTGAAGAGGGGGCAGGAATATAACCCATTTCTTCCCAAAAAAAATGATGGGACACAACACCCAAGAGCTGCTCCTTGACATGTTAATTCCTACAGATCCCATCGCCCTCAGTCATCATATCCAATTATCATGGGTTACAGGAGGTGCCGTCCAAAACATCTGAAGAGCACTAGTTCGGAAAAGGCTGATGAAGGTGTGTTGAGATGCCTCCAAGTCCATATCCTGTAAGAGCAGCTTCAAAGTCCACCATCACTATTATCTTGGAACAGTGGTTCCAAACTTTGGGTCCCCAGACTTCCTTAGACTGCAACATCCAGAAGTCTTCACCATAAGCTGTCCTGGCAAGGGCTTTTGGGAGTTGCAGTCCAAGAACATCTGTGGTCCCAAGGTTGGGAAATATTGGTCTAGAGGACTGCACAGGAACCTCGTATGAACCTGATCTCTGCCCTCAACCTCTTGAGGCACCTGGTCATGGGCAGCCCTCCTCTGGGAAACCCTCTCGACCGGAGAGGATGGGGCATGGATCCTATACCTGCAAAGGAGGGAGCCCACCAGAGAGCAGGGGAGCTTCCGTGATTCCAATGCCAGTGGGCTTTCTGGGGAAAGTCCATTTCCTCAGTTTTTAGTTTGATCAGGCATGGCTCAAAGACTCTTTCTGTGAACTGCCCCCTTCCCCCGAGCCTTCTGCTCAGCTAAACTTTGCAGGAGGAGGGCAGACAAAACCGTGACACGCGAGCTTTGCGGGCTTCCTTCTGTCACTCACCTTCACAAAGTGCAATGCAATTCAGATTACGACTCTGTAAGAACCTGGACTGGATGGATCTGGTCTGCAAGCAAACAAACAGAAACCGAATGACATCCTCTTCTTTTTCCCTTGAGAACAGACCTCCTCAGCCTGGGAGTGCTGGAGGGTGTGCAGTTTTATCCATCTTCCCCCCAGCAACGGGTGGGGGAGGGGGAGGTTTGAAGGCCACCCCATTCCTCAGAAAGGTTTGAAGAAAGTGGCTCAAGAGGAGCCCTGGCTGAATCCAAGAGATCAGCCAATCATGGTAAATGTACCCGGACAGGAGAATAAAGAGCCGAACTCTTATTCCAGTGGGAAAGGGTTGACCACATTGCTTTCCCTCCTGCTGTATCTTACATTCACATTTTACCATCTTGGATTTATTGCATGTTTACTGGTTTTACTGTTTTTAAAATCTGTAATGCCGCCCAGAGTAGACCTTAGGTCTAGATGGGCGGGGTATAAATCTAATAAAATAAATAAATAAATTGCCTAACAGCTGCCACAGCCAATTGCTGCAAACCAAGCCCTAGGAGGAAAGACTGAAAGAATTGAGTATGTTTAGTCTTGAGAAATGAAGACCGAGGGGAGACCCGCTGGCCTTATAGCCCCCCCTTCCAACTTCATGGTTCTCGGATGAGTGCACAAAGCGAATTACCAAGGGACCTCATCTCTGACAGGAGATGAAAACCACACTTATGCTTTCCTGGATTAGAAACCAAAGATGCTCAGCGGTTTAGATACCTGGCTACGGAGCCAGCGGTTGGAAGTGGTTTAGATACCTGGCTATGGAGCCAGCGGTTGGAAGTTTGATTCCCCTCACAGGGCCTCCTTGACAAGGGATGGGCTAGATGATCTCACAGGGTCCCTTCCAGCTTCTGCAGTTCTGGATTTCCGTTTCAAAACCTGCCTTCTATCCAGTGATGGCAAAGATTTCCACGCAGGGGATCTATCCCTGCTTAACCTGGAGACCACTGGGTTTGATCTGGGGCCTCTGATGCACATAACAAAGGCTCTACCACTGAGCTAGAATCTTTTAAACTCACATTAATGGTTGTTCCTGATGAGTTGTTCCCACGTCACAAAATTGTGAGGATGTCACCACTTTTCAGCACTTTGGAACTACAACTTCCAGGTGTAGTTTTAATAGCTACTTTTTGGAAGTAACCCCTTCCCATTTCTCAAAAGTAATTGGCGCACTTAATTACTTCTTTAAAAACTATCTGATACAAGTATTTACTCTAGGACTCAAAAACACACTCCCCACCCCCCAAACACATCACATTTTCTCCTCAAGATGCACAACCAAGGAACAACAGGGCGGACAGTCCAAGCCCACACATGATCCAGGTGAGGCAGTTCCAGCACCATTTTGTGAAGCTGCCACCCCTCAAACGATGAAAAGAACTGAACGTCTGAGATTTACAAACAAACCCTTGCATCATGTAGCTTTTTAAGGGCTTTGCTGTCTGGGAAAGTACAGTAGGACCCCACCACCACCACATCCATGAGGGATCAGTTCTAAACCCTCCATGGATTCTGAAAAATCTGGATTGCAGCAGAGGCTGTTTTGAGAGCCAACACTATACATAGCATGGTTTCTGGCCCCCTCTCCTGGTCAGTTCTGCTCACTTCCTATTTAGAAATAGATATTTCTAGCCTTTTTCTTTTAACATTTTTAGACCATGGATAAATGAATCAGCAGAAACTGATGCCATGGATAAAGGAATCCTGCTGTAATTAAAAAACAAATCCTGAAGCTGAGGCTCCAGTACTTTCACCATCTGATGAGAAGAGAAGACTCCCTGGAAAAGACCCTGATGTTCGGAAAGTGTGAAGGCAAGAGGAGAAGGGGGATGACAGAGGACGAAATGGGTGGATAGTGTCATCGAAGCTATCAACATGAATTTGACCAACTCTGGGAGGCAGTGGAAGACAGGAGGGCCTTGGGCCTGGCGTGCTCTGGTCCGTGGGGTCACGAAGAGTCGGACATGACTTAACGACTGAACAACAACTGTACAAGCATTACAAGCATTTCTCTATTTATGTAATTGTTTTCAGACTCTATGAGAGGGTTGTCATGCCTGTAAAAACACACAGGTATCTACACACATGTACACAGAGTTACCTGAGGGATGGTGTTCATTCGGTTATATCTCTGCACCAGTTCATCCTTTGAAGGCATCCTGTGCTGCCCTTTGCCCATCCCTGCATTGACAACAAACAGAGTAAGAGAACAAGGGAGACAGTACACTGGGCCAGGGGGGATTCTATCCCTGGTGATCGCGGGATTCTGCACTCCGTGATGGTGCAAAAGAGAATAGGTGGTGGAAAATAAGGAGCTGAGAGACAACAGGACCCCTAAGGGTCCCGGCTAAAAGCACTGTAAAAACAAACAACAAACAAACAGATGTTCCATGCAAGACAGAATGTCCACCCCTCCTGGATCGGTTAGAAGAATCACAGCAAATCAATCTATCAATCAATCAAATATACATGGTTCCTACTCCCTACGACTCCTAATCGGAGCCAATGGACAAGAAGACGGAGACACACATCTGGTTCACTGGCCAGTAGCAAAACTAACCATGTGATAAGAGGTCTTTTCCTCCCTCTCCCTCCCTCTCTCTCCCCCCTTGTCTACCCGACACCTTCACCACACGACTGCAAGTGAGGTAGGACGTTATTTTAAAAAAGACACTACCCTCTTAGCCTCGAGCTCTTCAGAGGAAGGAAGGATGTGGTTTTTTTTAACGGACTCTTCGTTAAAGGTATGGATTTTTTTCTCTATATATATGTTCAGCACACACTTCAAAATACATTTCAAACATCAGAAATACATTTTTAAAAATGCATGCATGGTGTGATGCGGTGACGTTTGCCATTTCCCCACGAAAAGGAGAAGCCGATGACCTGGAGTGGAGGATGGGACCAGAACATGCTGGGTGTCATGATATGGTTATGTTGCACTTTGGAGAAAGCGAGAGAAAGAGAGAGAAGACACAGGAGCATCCTAGGTCAATAGCTGCTGTCCTCCTTTCAACCCCTGGCCATCCCTATCTATGTCCAGATGTGTCATGTTCAATTTCTAGAGACTAAAGTCCCCAACTGTCGCAAAAGCTAACTAGGTGTGCTTTTGCCAGTCTCCCACCCTCACCCTGATCCGAGGATAAAGAGGTGGGGAAAAGCACGATGCACCACACAGAGGTCACTGGAGGAAGAGGAAGCCTAGGTATGTATGACTATGGAGGCACAGACATGCACAAAGATGAGACCCAGGGCAAGGTCTGAGAAGATGCATGGTTCAGCCACTGTGTTGAAGGTAGGAACGGAATGAACACTCAGGACCACAACTTATCAGATAATCAGAGGATAATGAAGTCGGAAGGGGCCTCTAAAGCCATCAGGTCCAACCCCCCTGCTCACTCTGCAGGAATACAAATCAAAGGATATCTGCCAGGTGGTTGTCTAAGTTTCTCTTGAATGCTTCCAGTGTTAGAGCACTCATCACCACTCGAGGTAAGTGGTTCCATTGTCATACTGCTCTTAACAGTTAGGAAGTGTTTCCCGATATTCAACCGAAATCTGGATTCCTATAACTTAAGCCCATTGAAACGTGTCCTGCACTCAGAATTTTTAGGGTTTTCTACAACAGCTCCCAAAACCTCCCAGCCAGTGTCCACACTGACAGGGGGAATGTGGGAACTGTAGTCCACAAGGTCTGAGAAGATGCATGGTTCAGCCACTGTGTTGAAGGTAGGAACGGAATGAACACTCAGGACCACAACATGATCGGATAATCAGAGGATAATGAAGTCGGAAGGGGCCTCTAAAGCCATCAGGTCCAACCCCCCTGCTCACTCTGCAGGAATACAAATCAAAGGATATCTGCCAGGTGGTTGTCTAAGTTTCTCTTGAATGCTTCCAGTGTTAGAGCACTCATCACCACTCGAGGTAAGTGGTTCCATTGTCATACTGCTCTTAACAGTTAGGAAGTGTTTCCCGATATTCAACCGAAATCTGGATTCCTATAACTTAAGCCCATTGAAACGTGTCCGGCACTCAGAAATTTTATGGTTTTCTACAACAGCTCCCAAAACCTCCCAGCCAGTGTCCACACTGACAGGGGGAGTGTGGGAACTGTAGTCCAAAAACAAAATTCCCCAAATTCTGCATATGCTACTACGTTGAGGTCTGTCACTGATGAAAGGCAGGCTAGAGTGCCTCAGGCGGAAGATGCTGATGAGCAGCAACAGCAACGCCTTCCTGTTTATTCTTCCCGAGCTCCCCAACCATTCACTTCTATGGGCAGAGACGGGGGTGCCACAAAGAACCCATCCCAGATCCTTCCAACTAGCCTGAATCCTCAGTTGTGATGCAGAACACGATCCCAGCACAAGCCTTGATGAAGTTTTATCTGCCAAATCAGACAGATTAAGTAAGTGTGATGGGGAATTAGCACCATGGAGTGCCCTAGCCTTTCACCTCCAGCTGGCAGTGTAAACGTCACAAATAGAACTGAATGAACAGGCAAGGTATGGATCCTTTAAAACTCTCCCCATGTATGTGGCCCAGGCATCAGGCAATGGCACCCACTTTCTTCCCAGGTAGCCCTCAAACATCAAACCCTGACCGTCGAAGGAAAGAGTTGTCCGTCTCAGAGCTACTGGGCCCCAATGTGAATGGAATCAACCAGCCTACTTCTATTCTCTGCTGCCCATCAGGTTCGCCATGGACTCCTTCCCTGATTGGGATTGTATAACCCCCACTCTTCTGATCTCACATTTTCCTCCTGCAAAATGAGGACAATAATGACCTCCTTCACCAGCTTCGTTTTTGATGGATGAGAGAGGCAAAGAAGCGCTTCCCGAAGGAAAGAGAGTAGGATGGCACTAATTAGACTTCTGGCTCCATGCAGAAATGGATGGCTGATTGATGGGTGGATTGACGGATCTCTCCTTTTTTCCTGTTTGTTCCTTTCCACATATATAGCAGTGTTCTTATTCACCTCAGATTTTGGAGAAAGGACAGTTTGTCAAACTTACTAAATATAGAAACACATGTTGTCCTGGACTCTGATCCTGCAATCTGTACAGAGGACATGACTTCAGTAGGCTAATGAGAACACTGTGCCCCTTAAAATGTGTATGCAGTGTTGTGGGGACACCTCATTTTGTAGATTTCAGTGAAAAAAGGGAGGCAGTAGGGATGAGAAGGAACTGTCCGTTTGGCGGTTCCTGCTGGGGTGTTTGGTGCGTCAAAGCTCTGCCTCCCCCAGCAGGTTGCCCACTCAGAGGCAGTGCCCAGAGGAGGCAGGGCAGGGAAGCCTGGCTGTTGCCTCTGAGCGGGCACCTGACTTTGATGCACCCAACACCTGTTCGGCTGCTAAATGAACCAGCAGGAACTGTTGAACCAGCAGTTCATGCCCATCTCTAGTAGTCAGGGATAAATCTGGAGATGGTAAGGTTTTTGGAAAATCCTGACCACCCGTACCAGGATATGGAACCTTTGGCCCTCCAGATGTTTCTTGACTACAACTCCCAGCATCCCTATAGTTAAGTGGGAGTTAAACAACATGTGGACGGCCAGAGGTCGTCCCTCCACATGATGCTCCCTTTCCACTAAGTCTACCCCACGACGACCCTATTGGAGGCTCTCAGAAAGTTCTGTGATTAAAAGAGGCTCCCATAGTGGCCCACCAAGCAATTAAGAGAATCCTTGCTCAGCTGTGAATCTCATTGGGTGACTCTGGCTAGTCACTTTCAGACAAAACTACCTCACAAGGTTGATGTGAGAAAAGTAGAAGAGGGGAGCTTCTGTGCCCCCCTGCCCGAAATCCTTGGAGAAAGTGTGGTACAGAAGAGTAATGACCAATGACAACAGCAGAATAAGGATAGTAATAAGAACCTACCACCTACCACTGTGAATTTCATTGTATGTGTATATACTTACAATGACAATAAATTATTATTATTACAAGAAATAAATGGGATCATAGATTCATAAGGGTATTCTTAAACAGACAAGGACCCTATGATCAGAAGCCAGCCCCCCATTCAGTCACAGCCTATGTCACACTGTGTCCAGGTTGGCAAATTCTCCCACCATGCTTGACAGAGCTGGCAACAGCTTTCAGGAGCCTCGTAGGGCAGTGGTTCAACTGCACTTCTTGACTACAACTCCCAGCATCCCTATAGTTAAGTGGGAGTTAAACAACATGTGGACGGCCAGAGGTCGTCCCTCCACATGATGCTCCCTTTCCACTAAGTCTACCCCACGACGACCCTATTGGAGGCTCTCAGAAAGTTCTGTGATTAAAAGAGGCTCCCATAGTGGCCCACCAAGCAATTAAGAGAATCCTTGCTCAGCTGTGAATCTCATTGGGTGACTCTGGCTAGTCACTTTCAGACAAAACTACCTCACAAGGTTGATGTGAGAAAAGTAGAAGAGGGGAGCTTCTGTGCCCCCCTGCCCAAAATCCTTGGAGAAAGTGTGGTACAGAAGAGTAATGACCAATGACAATAATGTAACAACAGCAGAATAAGGATAATAATAAGAACCTACCACTACAAGAAATGAATGGGATCACAGATTCATAAGGGTATTCTTAAACAGACAAGGACCCTGTGATCAGAAGCCAGCGCCCTCATCTAGTAGCCCCCCCCATTCAGTCATAGCCTATGTCACACTGTGTCCAAGGTTGGCAAATTCTCCCATCATGCTTGACAGAGCTTGGTAACAGCTTTCAGGAGCCTCGTAGGGCAATGGTTCAACTGCAGGGTTGCAGTGAAGACTCTGCTCACAACCTGAGTTTGATCCCAATGGGCTCCAGTGGCCGGCTTGAGGTTGACTCAGCCTTCCATCCTTCTGAGGTTGTTAAACTGAGTACCCAGCTGGCTGGGAGGAGGGGGCCTTTGTGTAGCCCGCATAAGTTAAATTGTACCCCACCCAGAGAGAGATTTAAGCACTAGAAGGCAGTGTATAAGCAGCACACTTTGCTTTTCAACAACAACACCGCCATCACTTTGCCACCTGCAAGGCAATAATGAGAAGACTTCATGTCTCGTCACCTCTAGTCTCAAAGAAGCCAATCCAACACCACCATCTTAGAAGACTTGCACTTCCCACTCTGCTGGTCCAATTCCTTCATCAAAAGCATACATTAAAACACGTTGCCGCCAACTGACCGATGTCCCAACCAGAATCTCTCTTAACATGGTCTTTTCAAACTCAACTTCAGCATTAGATGGTCCAAAAGCCAGCTAGAAAACAGATCAAATCATTAAAGATGGTGGTCGTCCAGGCTGGCTCGGGTATTTTAGCAACAGTACTCCAAAAATTGAACTTTTCCTTGTTTTGCCTATGGACCAAGACTGCTGAATCAGAGAATAATGGAGTCGATAGGGGCCAATGAGGCCATCCAGTCCAACCCCTGGCTCAAGACAGGAATCCAAATCAAAGCAGATTTGACAGGCAGCTGTCCAGTTTTCTCTTGAAGGCTTCCAAGTGTTGGAGCGCTCCAAGGGTCATCCGTTCCATTGTTGTACTGCTCTAACAGTTAAGATATTCAGTCTACCTCTACCCTGAAACAGGTGGACATGATTCTTGAGGGCAGACAGAACACTGGGGCCTTTGGGCATCCCAACAATGTTTCAAAGAATGCGCATCAGCAGGATGTGCCCTCCAAAGAGTTTGGAAGTACAGAGGAGGAAAGGAGACCCACCACCACCACCGCCACCGTTCGAAGAAGCCCAACCAAGCAGAAATCTAAACAAGTAGAAATGCTTGTGGATGCGAAACAGGTTCTGAGGGAAGCACCGATGTAGAAAGGCAGCATCCGTTTCTGGCACTGGGCGTTGGACGTTCACCAGGATGTGAGGAAAAACACACATAGAGAGGGAGGGGAGAGCGGCTCTTGGAGGTGAAGCAAGCATGTCTGCTATGGGACACGAGAGGCACTGACAGATGAAGGAAGAAAGAGAGCCGCTTACCTGAATATCCAAAGGAAATACTGGAGATGGGGCTCAAATAGATGCCTTTGCCATAGGCTGCTCCATGCAGCTTGCAGAGAAACACTAATGTGAGCCAAAAAAAAAAAAAGAGGGGGGAAGAACCCAACCTCCCCACAGGGCAGACACAGCCAAGTCTGGCCACTGGCACACCTCCAGTCACACCCATCACAAAGGTTGAGAGCGACTGTGCTTTGGCAGTCGGAATGGGGCTCTGACATCCTGGCTCAAGGCAGAAAACGCTCACTCTCCATCAGCCTAATCTCCCTCACAAGGCTGTTTTACGGAGCAGGGGAGCAGAAGAGCCGTTTATGTTCTCTAAGCTCATTGGAAGCAAAGACTGGGTATATGTCATGGGAGCAGGAGGAGTGCGGCGTCCGTGGCGGAGCGGTTCCAAACACACACACACCCTGCGGATGCTGGAAATTGAGGAAGCGTCAAATGTTACACCCTGCATAGTCTCTGGCTTCATCTCATAGCCAGTTTTGATTAATACACCCTGGACATATGCATAAATAAATACATATTTCTGAGGGTTTTTACTTAGTATTTCCAGACAGCAGACAAAATGAATCAGCAGATATTGATCCCGCGGATAGCGGGTGGTACTGAACTAGTCATAGTACAACTACCCCTAGTTTTAGTACTACCGGTTATAGCCCATGTTTCTTCCTTTCAGAAAGATCATGGGGCGGTCGTGGAATTTCCTGTTGCCGAAGGCGCACATCACTGTCAGACAAAGAGTCTAGACATTGAGGGGGGAAGCTCACAACTCCTCACTTCAGCTTTGCTAGAAGTCACAGCGTCTCTCTGCATGGAGCAGAGGGACAGAAAAACCTCCAGAAGCAACTTTTTCCACCATAAGCACCCAGCATAGGCTGTCCCACGCCACCAAATAACCAAAAATTAAAAATTAAAAAAATTAGAAAGGTCACAAGTCCACTTCCAGTTTGGTTTTTAAAAAAACAACAACTCGGGATTGGAGTTGTGTGAGCAAAGCAAGGTACCAAAGAATTGATTCTGCTGTACTTTCTTTTTCTTTTGCTGTGATGGAGAACCCGTTTCTATATAGGAGCAATGGATGGGGGGGGGAGTTTCAGTTAGTGGGGCATCCAAGGGCCCTAGGTGGAGTCCAGAGCCACAATTGGGGGGATCTGGCTACGAAGCCCATAGGTCACATGATTGCTAGCTTTCATCTAAAGGAGCAGGAGGAGTGATACACAAGGGAGAAGAGCATCCACCTGCTCTTCGGGACCAGCGCCTCTTAGGGAAACACAGCCAAAAACACGTGGCCTCAAAACTCCATCAGCCGCAGCTGATATTTCTAGATCTACTGTTGCAAGAGCAATAACGTCTGGCGAAAACTGTCCGATGTAGCAGACATAATGCACATCTGGAGTTCCAGAGATGCAGGTTCAAATCTCCCTCCAGCCACGAAGCTCCTCTTTGATTCAGTCCCTCTTTCAGTTACCCTGTGTTAGGGCAATGAGTGGGTTAAAAGAAAGCTACATTGCCCTGATTTGTGCTCCCTGGAGGAAAGGCAGGACAAACCTCAATCAGTAGAAGCCAGCCTTTGGGACGGTGGGTCAGTTTGAGAAAGTGAGGGTGCTAAATTGAAATCAATGCAAAGTTTTTGGGACACAGAGAAAGCCTGCAAAGGAAAAGACCTATTTCGGATCACCTGTGGCTAATGGCCAGATCACTGGCCCAACAAGTGATGGGAGCCTTAAGAAGAGGCACATTGACACACACACACACCACAGGGGGCACCAAAGGCAATGGGGGAAAAATCAGCCCAAAGGAAGCTGGTTCTACAGAGAGCACCAGCAGGCAGAGTTCTCCAACCCTCATGGTGGATCAGAGTCCCTGAATCCTGTCTGAGAAGGAGAAAGCAGGGAGGGGTTCCCAGGACATCACCTTCAGTAAGCTGTCCCTGCCACAAAGAATGGAAATGAGACAGGTGGAGGGGGGTGGAGCGGTCCCTTACCTGCAGTTTGGTGTAAGAGGCATTGACCAGTCCATTGCGCAGAATAGAATGCCAATTCTCAATATGAGAGCCACTGTGGAAGAAGAGGAAAAGTCTCAGTTTGCGACCAACAGGCACGCAAGAGCATCCCGGTCGTTGGTGACCCCCTCACTCTGTCTCCTTGCAGAGGGGTAGCAACCCTCGTTCAGCCCAAAGCCCAAATTCAATGTCAGAGAAGTTACTGGGGTCAAAGGCTAGCCGCAGGCAGGGCCAGAGCCTGAAGGGAGGGGCTCAAACGGTCAGAATCGGTAGGGCACAAAGCAAAGGTGTTTCAACCAATCGCAGTGGAGAAAATGACCCTTGATTGAATGCAGCAGCAGCTAAAATCCTGTTGGAATGCACAGCAGGTTACACCAGAGTAGGCCTACTGAATAAGAGATGATCTGGTGAATCAACTCCTCCATACGTTCCCCTGATTTAAATGGGCCTCTTCTAGCAGTGACATGCCATGCTGAAGTAGGTCACAACTAGAACTGGTCCATTTGAATCAATGGAACCTTGTATGGAGGGCAGGACTCATCAAATCCCAGCAGATTCAATGGAGTCCTCTAGTGTGGTTTACGACATCAAGGAGTCCTAGCCCAGCCATGGTGACAGAGGTCATGGCTGACTGGCTGGCTGAAACCACAAACCGGAGTATTCCGTACTGCAAATTTTTATCGTAGGTTCCTCTTTTGAAGCCAGAATGACAGCGCTTCAATATTTTAAAAGGCAGAGAAGTACAGGCACAAATCAGAATAGATTCTTTGAACAAAGGGCATGTCCTTTCTCTGAAAAAAAAAAAGAATGAAACAGGAAGAGAGGCATCCGGACTTACTGGAAGGCGAAAGTGCTACCATAGAGCTTCTTGGCCGTTCGGAAGCGGGCCTCCTTCGCAGGAGGGCTGCTCAGCAGGAGGAACTGGTGTGAGGTGTGCATAAATTTCAGCTGCTACCAAGGGAAACAGACCCACGTGAAAGGGAAAGCCAGGGAATCAGAGGAGGAACAAAAGCAGAGAAAGAAAGAGGGAGAGAAAGAGAGAAGACCATCATGCAAGAGAGTCTGGCCAACCAGATTGCCTTAGAAAAGGCAAGTTAGATAGAAAATGATGTTCACATACAGAGAAGTCCATCCACTACTTGAGGTGTTGAAAGTACCAAATAATTCAAAGCTTGGGGACATTACTTTTTTTGGACTATAACTCTCATAATCCCCGTCAGCATGACCTAACCAAGTGACATTCGCAAGATCAGACCTCCACTTTGAGCGATCTTTAGCTGGCTGTTATATTTGGAACTTGGAAGTAAACTCATCAAGTTATATGTGATTACTCCCTCTTCTTTTGCAATAACTATTCCTAAATGAGTTAAACTTCAAGTGGTTTGTAAGGAGATATAGCTCCACCCCTTCCACAATATAACTATAACCACTTTTATTTATCTTTATAGTTATGGAGGTAGTGGCAATATTTAGGTACTGTATGTTTTCTTTTTACTCTTTCTCTTACCAATGTCTCAGAGTGAGTTATTGATACTATAGGTGCCAGTTGATGAGGCAGTAGGGGGAGGTCTACTCCAGGGGGACTTGAAGCTATTTCTTCTCTGTAAGTCCTTGCTCTCCTGCTGCACAGTTAGAGGTTTTTAACCAGTTAAGAGGTTTTTAACAGTGACTGCACAAAAAATTGAAACCTCGGTATGCCCAACTTTCAAGCAGAGCTTGGAAAAGTAACTTTTTTGGACTGAAGTTTTCAGAATCCCTCAACCAGCATGGTAAAAGAAAAAAGATCCCTTCTTAAAATGTTCTGCTTCCAAGTATATTGAATCTTAAGATCAGAGGTGGGCTGGCTACAGCTGATGGAAGTTGGAGTTCAGCAGTATCCGGAGGGCTACTTTTGCTCTATCTACATAGGAAATTATCTCCTGCCAGATCGGACCAGCTCAGTATCATTTATTCTTCTCTGGCTGCAGCTCTCTAGGGCTTTAAGCAGACAAGACCAGCGACTGATCTGGGGACCTTCGGTATGCAAACCAGGTTGTCTCGTCCTGTTAGCGAAATGGCTGTGAGGTTCAAGCAAAGGGAGGAACAATCACTTACCCTGCTGAGAGGTAGCTTAACAATGTGAGACCTGTTGCTGGAGATGATCCTAACAAAGAGAGAGAGAGAGAGACTGTCAGAATGCTGGAAGACCCACGTTCACCTTGACGTTGGTAGTAGCCAGGCAGGAAGACCCCAACCTATGCCACTGAGCGTGACTGCCTACCATAATATTACAAGGGAGCAGAACTATTTCAGAAGTTGGAAAGGTATGCTTTGGTGGACTGCAGCTCCACCATATTAGCACAGCCAGGAGCTGTAGTCTGAAAAGGTAACACTTCCATTCTCTCGTCGAGCCATAACCTGGAGATGTGAATGCCAGGATGACCATGGTGGAGAAAGACCTCCCTGGCAGGTAGGCACAAGGTATTTGCTGCTGAAGGCAGAGATGCCCCAAGACATTCTTCTGCCTGAGGGGGACTACATAGCACCACCTCTTTCCTCACTGGGCATCATCATAATTAGAGACGTTTTTTGGCCAAACTGGTGTTCGTGCCCATCTCTAATCACAATAATTATGTGTGTGCCATCCAGCCAATTCTGATCTAGCAATCTTCCCCAGGATTTTCTGGATGCAAATTGCCAGAAGTAATAGATGCTGAGGGAGGGGGGGTCTGGCAGCAATAATAATCTTCCAGCGATTTCTGTTGGATTCCACAGGTTTTATCTCATGCCAGAACTAACTTGTCCTGAGTCCCAAGTTGTCTTGAGGCCGAAACCTCAGAACTTAAGTTCAACCAGACACTTCACGATCCATGCGTCCACAGATACGTGGCCATCCAAACTTCAGAAGTCCTGTCAAATCACAATTGTTTTGTGGGGTACACCTCAAAGGAGGTTTGTTCGGGGTCCCTGTCACTCAGGATAATGCTGTGCACTCTGCTCACTCTTCTGGCACGCCCTCTTCCCAGTCTTCCTCTTGGCCCTCTCCCACACGAGCGTGTCTCCTGGCGCCTTACCACTGAAGGAGAGGATGAGCCAGAGGGTCCAGCTTGTCCATTTGCTTCTTGATCTCCAGGTAGGAACCCTAAAAGAAAAGACAGCACTGTCAGCAGAGTTACAACTACAAAGAGAAACTCTGAACTTCACCCAGAAAGAAGACAATGGGGGGGGTGACATGCCAAATACCTGGCAGCCCTTCATTTGGGGAGCTCAGAGAGATCATCCAACAACTGGCCCCAGGAGTGGACGTTGAAGCCTATACTTCTGGTTTATGTTTGCAGCATGCATTTGGGTACAGACTTGGTATAGATATTTGCATTGACATTTGGAATGTTCATATGTCTTCTTCTGCACGGCCCATAATATACTGGTACACAGCCTGATGAAGAGGTTGAAAGCTAGCTTTTTTGTTGTTGTTGTTGTTTTGGTGATCCACCAAAGGTATCACCTGCTCTTGCTTTTGTATCATGTAAGGTTTGTTTGGTTTATTTGGTTGCTTGTTGTAGGCTAGCAAGGGCCTCACAATTGTTCATCAAAGGGCCCTACGAAGGACAGTGGGACATTTTTTTTTTGCATCCCCATCCCTGGAAAGGAGATTTGATGCCAAATAATACCCCTCTGTTCTGCTCTTTCATAATTTCCTCTCTCACCTACGAAGATATCATTCTTTCAGCTATACAGAATCACAGAATCATGGGGTCGGAAGGGGCCTGTAAGGCCATCTAGCCCAACCTCCAGCTGAAGGCAGGACTCCCAATCAAAGCAGGTCTGATAGAGGGTGGCCTAATTTGCTCTTGAAGGCCTCCGACGTTGGAGCGCTCGCCACCTGCTGAGATCATGGGTTCCATGGCCTTTCCTGCTCTGAAAGATCTGGATATTTAGCCAAAATCTGACTCCCTATAGTTTGAGCCCGTGGTGACATGCCCTGCACTCTGGGATGATGGAGAACAGATCCTGCCCCTCTTTTTTCAAGTAGTTGGAAAGGGTTCTCAAACACCTGACCAAAAAATATAAGGGATGCATAAAATGTTCACAATATTTTGCAGAGCCCAAAATATTGTCTTAAAGGACCTTAAAAAAAACCCCAAAAACTGCTCCTTCTTTTTCCAACAGTCCACTTCCCTTCTCAATAACTGCTCTGACGCTCTTTTGAATAGAAGTGTTAACAAGCAGGCTCTTCTGATCCACTTGGTTCTCCAGCCACTCAGGGAACCGGCCCATGTGATGACATCACCACAACACCCAGGCCTTCTTGACTCATCCTGTCATCCCAAATCATCAGAACGGTTACTAGGGGGAGGAGCTTGCCTCTCCTCCTCCCTGGTTCATATGAACAGTAAATGACTTGGAAGAGAGATTCTGCACACCCAAAAACCCGGATTTGCCAAGGCACATTTGCCACGAGAGCAGGAAATTATCTTCTTCAGACTCCTTGCCACTCAACATGAGCAAAGCAGCAAAACGGAGCAACACAGCAGCCTCTACCTTGCCACTGTGCTGAACAGTGACAGATTATTAAACAAGGATTATTAAATTAATAGATTATCAATCTATTTCCAGATTATTAAACAAGGAAATAGAGTTGCAGCCTGTAAGATATGGCCCTGTGACCAGAGGCAAAATCATTCTAACAAACCATTTTTCTTCCTTTCACAGTTCTCCGCATATATGCATCATATACTTAAAGATCCATATATTTGAATCGTACACAATTTCTACACTTTCTTGCAATTAACGTCAAGATGAAGTGACACAGAGAAAGAGGCAACGCCAAGTATCATTTGCTCAGAGATGAGTTTAAGCCATCCCGGATCCAAAGTGATGGGGTGCACCTCTTTTTCTTTGGATTCCGACTGGCAGAATTCTCCAAATATTCCCCAGGCAGAATTTTGGGAGTTCCTGCCTATAGATGCACATCTATAGGCACCTGCATTTCACTCGCCTGGAGCAGAGCCTATATTCCAGGCTGCCTTGAGCCTACTTCCTGTACAAAAAGGAAACCACCCCAGTGCTTCATGGGATGTGTAGGAGGTGCGGTTCTTGAGGGGTGCCCTAATGGGCAACAAGACTACCTCACCCACAAAAACCTAGGACTGCCAGGAAGCACTGAGACAGATTCCTTTTTTAAAACAAGCAGTAGACAGCCTGGAAGACAGAGACTGTGGCAGATGAGTGATAAGCAGATGTCCGTCTATGGGTAGGAATTTCCAGAATTTTGTCTGCCGAATTATTGGGAGAATTCTGGAACCTGGACTCCCTTCCAAAAATGGCAAACCCCTAGAAAATGAGGGTGAGCACGAAAAAAATGGTGTGGAATGGAAGTGTTGGTACCTACTTGAGTCATTTCACGGATTGACATGACGCTGTCCAGAGCCTTTTGCAGCCTCTCATAATTCTTCTTCTACGCATCAAGAAAAGGGAAGACAATATTTCATTGGCTCACTAGCAGCAAGTCACACAGTAAGAATGCTGAGGTCTTGAATACATGAACAACATAAATCTGTTATTTATCTTGCCACACTAACATGTGTAACAGAGTTCAGAAAAGTTAAAAATTTTGTACTACAACTTCTACACAGAGAAAGAGAGAGAGACATAAATGGCTTACATAGCCACGGCCCTGTTTGTGGTGGATTCTGGAAACTATACTTTAAAAATAGCTTTTGTATGCTCTGCTTTGGCAATAGCTTTGCTAGTGTTGACCCTCCATAAGCCTTCCTCTCCTTTCCTTGACGTGGATTAAGATGGCCCCTTGTAGGCTGGGTTGATCTTGGTGCACATTTCTGAGTTCTTGACAAGTGTTTCACTCTCAAAGCAGTATCACCAATCATGAATTGCAGCCCTTAATGTAGAATACTACAGGTCTCCCATAATTCTAATATGTCCCACTTCCACCGGAAATAAATGTAGTTGCTTAGCCTATACAGTGGTGCCTCGCACAACGAGCGCCCCGCAGAGCGATGAATTCGCTCTACGAGGACGTTTTCACAATCGCAAATGCGATTGCATACCGATGGCCCCTATGGCCAAAAATCGCAGAGCAAAGGTCAGTAAGCGGTTCGCTTACCAACCTTCGCTTTGCGACCTGTCAATCAGCTGTTCGGCGGCTACAAAATGGCCACCGGAAGCTGCAAAATGGCCGCGCGCAGCGTTTTCGCGCCCTCGCGAAAATGGCTGCCAGCCATAGAGGAACATCGCTGAACGGTGAGTAAAGGAGCCAATGGGCTTTTCTGTCCCGCTCAGCGATGTTTTCACACAGCGAGGGTTAATCCGGAACGGATTAACCTCGCTGTGCGAGGCACCACTGTATAATAACTTTGTCTACGACAGATCCAAGCCCCTATTATTGCTCACCTAATACTGCATTTCAGTATATCTAAAATTCTACTCTGAAATTCTGCAAACCAGGTGCAGAATTTCAAGACAAGAGTTTTGGAAAGAGCCATCCAAATCCTGTTGCAGAATTACGCTGGCAGAAGGGAAATGATGTCACTCTCCCCACAAACTGCTGCTGGTCAACAAGTCCTCATGTGGTTTCCTAACTAGGCACACATATACGTAGGCACATACTCCAATCACTATGAATATGGACCAGACATTAACTAACGAATCAACCCCTTTATATATATATATAATCTGTCTTTTTCTCAGCAGAGGGATCTGAAGGAGCCCCAAACAGAATGTCTCTATGTGTAAAGAAACTGATATTTTATCAGCACCTGCCCTTGGAAAGGACTTTAAAAAAATAACTGCTATAAGTCCTAAGGACCTGGTTACATTCTGCGAGGGAACCAGTCATAATTTTTTGTGTGTGTGCCTTTTGTGATTAGATCCCTTCTTCGTGCATTTTGATTCAAGGGGGGAAAATCCTAAACGTTCCTGTAAATTTCCACATCGATTTAGAATGCTGATCAGAAGCACAGCAAATCCCACTGTGGGTTTGTGACCATTTCACTGCTTTGGGCCCAATGAATCTCACCCACCTTGGGATTGAAGGCAAGGGTTTTTGGGTCACTGGGGTCCACGACGGAGGGGTAAGGCTCAAAGATGATGCTCTTGCGGGGGGATTCCAACGCTGCTCGGCACATGGCCACGAGCAGATCCACCACCTGTAAGAGAGAAGCCTTCAGGCAGGGAAGAGACCAAGTACACCCATATTCCACCATCTCTCCTAAGCATCCTCATATCAGATGCAAGCAGCTGGCAGTTCATTGCCCTTGAAATACATGGGAGAGTTCATCTGCCAAGCAAGATTCAGAAATATCAATAGATGGCTTTCAAAGAAAACAAACCTCAAGCAGATGTTCCAATAAATCAGGTATGAAACAAACAGCTTCTACAAACTACATGAGCACCCTTGGTCTATTTTTTTCCCAGCCCAACCATGAAATATTACATTTAAAAATTGAAAAAGATCCCATACTGCAAACAGAAATGTAATTCTGAAGGAAGAGAAACTATAACTCGTGTTCTTTGGTATGGCCTCTTTTTCTCTCAATATTCAGAAAACTTTTACTGAACCTTGTTTAATGTTATTTCCTGGAGGTTCAGAGCCATACTACATCCTTTTATTGCTTTCAGGGCAGAATATGCTGCTTAATGTAGCAAGATTTTGCACTGCTGCAGTCAAAAGTTGTGAAGGAACGGTTTTAGTACATTTATAGTTAGTTTTTGTCAATTGCAGCAAACTTTTAAGCGGGAAACACATTCAGTACTAATTATGCCACCAGTAGATTTTACTTAATTTATTATTACGACTTTAGGGTAACAGTAATACTGGTTCTTGGAATAATATATTTTATGTATTTATGGCTTATCTGTATCATCTGTCATCTATCTATATCTATCTATACAATAGGAGCCCCTTGTCCTTGGGATCAGTATCCACTGATTCACTTATTCATGGTCTGAAAATATTAAAAAAAAAAAATCTTATTTCTAAAGCTGAAGAACTGGCCACTAGAGGGAGCCAGAGATCAGACTATATACAGTGGTGCCTCGCATAACGATGTTAATTGGTTCCAGAAAAAAAAACGTTATGTGAAAACATCGTTATGTGAAGCACCATTTCCCATAGGAATGCATTGAAAACCGGTTAATCCGTTCCAATTGGAACGGATTATCCGGTTTTTTGCCTCCCCCCCGCGGCTTGGATCTGACCCATGGCGGCTACCTCAGCCATGGCTGGACTCCCTAGAGTCCGGCCATGGCTGGGGTAGCCACCGCGGCTCGGATCCAAGCCCCGCTGCTCAGCTGGGGGAAAATGTCGGCAGTGGGCTGCGGCCTCGGAAGGACCCCGAAGCCCCCGTCCCCTGCCGACAATTCCCTTCCGAGCTC